ATTATACACGTTGTAAACGGACAACGAATATGGTAGCCGGTATGCGATCGTTAAAGTATTTTCTTCGGCTAAGGTGTGGCAAATAATAAGCATTCTCGTGGCACGCACGTATCACGGTTACAACGATAATAGAGAAATTGGATAATTTTAAGCATGAGTGGAAGTCGGGATCACTGGCGACACGTACGGTTCCGGTTCAACAAACAGAACACGCATAACAGCCGGACGATATTACATGACATGCACTTGCGACCGTTCTTTCGATCACTGTTTCGAAACTTTCCAATGTTCAATCGCGGCAAAGAGACGGTCAGCGGGGAATGCCGAGGGAACTGTCTGTCAATCAAAATAACCACTGGAGAACACTTCGGTCATGCGTGCATACGCTTTCGAAAATGAACCTAAGGACGCATACTTCTACGTAATAACGAGTTCGTATCGAAACGATAGTCAAATAGTCATGATAGTCGGAAGAAAGTTTACCAAATAGAACTCGCGAAGCAACAATTGTCACTAACACCTACGAACATCGCATTTGACGACTGATATTGCGTCAATCATGAATTTACAAAAATAAAATCTTCCTTAAATAACGTGACTTTAGTGCAAATGATAATTATAATTCATATCAAATCAAGCAGATAAAAGCGATGTTATCGTGATGATCGAAGTACTGTTTCTTGAGCAACAAATGAAACTGACAAATTGGCTGATAGAGGAAAGAATCAACAGCTGTTGTGATAATAGTGAGTAATAATCAGTGTATTATTTTAGATACAATCATTTTTCTCCCATATCAAAACTGAGACTATCATCGTCTCTAATTGTCAAAGTTGTTTTTAATCTTTTTTATTTATAATTGGTAAATAGGAACGGTTTGTCCAATTTTTTTATAAGATGTTCGAAAACAATTAATTTTCTTTTATGTATAACTGTGTATATGATTTCATTGTTGCTGCGTTGATTACGTTTGTTGGATTTGTTCAAACGCTTCTACGAGCCATTGTATATACAATTTGACCATCTTTAATAATACATAATCCATCCGAATAATATATGTTCCATCCGTCTGTTTGATATTTACGAACATATTTCATGGCATTTCTCCATAGTTTCGAAATTGTTCTCATTACCCTCGCAACCTCCATACATAAATAATTCACACTGATTCGTCTCTGGATTATATCCGTATCTCGGTAGAATAGATTTGCATACGCCAGCATCCAATGGTAAAAGACATTCTGTCAATGATGGGGAAATATTTATTATTAAAAACGGATATGTCGATTATTAAATTTCTAAGTATTAATGACATATTGTCAATATTCAATCACTTCATCATTTCTTCAAAATAATCATTTTCCTAATATTTTTGAAAATTTCATAATCAATATTCGAGTAAACTATGTTATCCAATGTCAGTTTTCTTCAAATGATGATTATTACTTACATGTGACGATAGTATAAATTATTTTATGTCTCGTGTGATACAAGATTAAATAAGCAAGTTATCAACAATTTATTTATAACATTATTTCATAAGAGAAGTTACAACCTAATGGAATGAGTTTACTGATAGAAGAAAAAAAGAGAACGAGATATCTACGTATAATAACGAGATATCTTAGTATAAGCTAATTCTTCACTCGATTACATTAGAAATTATTTCGTTAGAAACTAATTCTACCCAAACATTCATAGTTGCCCAAATCTAAACTTCGTCGTTTCTCTAAAACACTAAAAAAATTTCAACGATTAACTTGACAAAGTTTTGTCGAACAAACGACGAACTTAAATTCATGTTTAACAAATATGAGCACAATATAAGTACAAAAATAGTAAAGTCTCTTACGTGGCCCTATTTTGGCTGATGCTTGATGCCATGACAGAAAACAGCAGAGAACAACCAAGAATAATGTGACGACTTTGCTGTACATTTTCGTATGTGTTAAGAAATTAACGACTCAAAATTACATTATATTACGTCATATAAACGATTGAAAACTACACTATTTGCGGTCACAGAGTTTATATAGTCTGCCGCGACTTTGGTAGGGGATCAAAGATGACGTATGGCATCGTATTATCTCTGTTTCAACGATATCCGACACCTGCATACACATGTATGGTCATAATATGTATACTGGAAAGATATGATATGAGAAAAATGTGATCTTCGTGATGCAACGCGTCATAAACATCATTGTGAATAATTATTGCTTTAATCTTTGATCTATCTATTTTTGATCATAGTATTTATTATTTTTTTCAATTTTTAACTCCTGAATAAACTCCGGAATTTCCAAAGATCAAGTAAACATTTGATTTTATCATCTCAGATATATCCATTATTCTTGGAGAGCATAAAGAAATTTTGTCAACAAAAGTTATTCAGTACAGAATGAGCCATAATATAATAATCTTTTTGTGAATGGAAGAGTTTCTAATATTTCAAGGTCACCTTCAGTTTTTTATATCAGAAATAATATATTTTTTGATTCACAAATCGATGCAGTTCGACATTCTTCTTTAAAGATATATCTATATATGTTTAAAAATATTAGTTTACAATTACATGACAAAAACAAGGACAGTATGAACATAAAAATACTGTTTTTCCTCGTTTTTCACGATCTTCTATCGCGCTATGTGAGAAAATTGTGAACTTAGATATCACATCTTTAACTCTATGAATAATTGACCCATTATAATGTGCTCGACTATATCTACAGATGGTACCTAGTCTGTGATGTTAGTGACTTTATCATCTGTAACGATTGAGTTGGTTGTGATTCTTATCTTCGCCATAAAAAAATTACAGAGGAGAAACACTTTAAGATAGATACGAAATAGATGAATAGACCTTGCATCTTATAAGACTTCATATCCCATGTTCTGAAATACCGATATACTAAAAAATCAATGGATTTTCAGCGCACTCTACGTTTAAATAACGGTGAATTGGAGAACTACATCAAATAAAACGATCGAAGTTGATCAAGTAGTGATGCATCCTTATTTACAGATGAGGTGTGCTTCTCTTCGCCATTTTTAACCGCCACTTCTCGGTTAAAAATCGATCATGAAAAATATTGATTTCGAGAATCGTAGAAATCGTATTGCGTATTCCGCCGTTGGGGCGCTGTAATCTTTACCTATCTTAAAATCATTGCGCGCGAAGTTTGTACGAATAAGATTCCCAATCATGATATTTCTAACAATAAACATATCATATATCGGTACATTTATAGATGTGTGTGGTGTATTAATTGACGTAATGAATGGAAGAATGATGACAAAATGTTAAATGTAAGTAGTATAAAATTAATCAATATAGTAATAGTCATGTCAAAAGAAGTAATGCAAAATGTTTTATATAGAACACATAATATACACATAATATATTTTTATGGAAAGTATTCAAATACTTTCATTAGTCATTGTATATAAAAACACATTCACATTTATTTATTTTAAACCAACAAATAACAAGTTAGATATATGTAATAATTCTTTTAGATAATGTTTTAAATCTTACAAATATGAGATGTAGAATATATTAAAATATATTAATATGTATAATATATCTATGTATAAGTTTGCTAACTTCAGTCAATGATTAAATCTTATTTTTAATCAATGATTTATCTTAATTAGTCAATGATGTAATTTATTGTAGTAATCTACCTTATCCTTTTCACTATGATAGTAATCTACCTTATCCTTTCTATATCGGTAATATCGGAACTGATATTAAAACGACAAAGTTTAGTTTGTTTAATTTGCCAAAATCTTAATAAAAATACATCAGGTTTATTTTATACCTTTTAAATATTGCTTATGTTTCAGTAGTATATTTAAAACAATTATTCTTTATCATGAATTATTTCATGAGTTATTTCATTAATATTTGTTCTTTATCTTAAAAATACTTATATAACTTGCACATTACAAGACTTAAGATTTATATATTATGGACAATCATTCTGATATACTTAAATTTCGGAATGTGGCGTAATAAATTTCGCTAGTAAATACCCAAGTAAATACCCAACATAAATACTGTAAAATTACATCTTTAAGATGTTATTGTTCGCAATAACACATACTGTATGTTTACAGAATTTGCTACAGTATTGTATCATAAAAATATTTAATCAATGCGATAAAACTTCAATCAACGTACTATAGCTTCATGAGTTGCAATTATTTATTTCGTTTGTTTATCGTAAATAATTCTTTAATATTTTATCATTTTCTACTTCTTGGTCAATTATCTTAGCTCAAAATTTATCTCAATTTAAAAATATATTGCAATCAAATTTAGTTATATTAAAATAAAAGTAAAATTTAATTTTTTTCAAATAATGACACAAAAGATTTATATCAAGAATTTAAATAAGTTTTTAATGAAATTATAAATTTTAATTTTCGCTTATTTAATTTTCACATTTCTTCAAAATAAATTATAATGAATATAATTTTATTATAAATAAATATTCTGTAAAATACTGATATTACGTACATGACAATCTAACCTAACAAAAAAATTTACTGACTGCACAATCATGCAGTTATTACGTCAATAATATTTACATTATAAATAAATAGTATATATATTTGGATTAAATCATAATATAGAATATCAGGTGTAATATTATCGTAAACATATGATAGTATCGATACAAGATATTCAGAGTTTAATCGAAAAAATGTAATCTTTAATAGGAAAATCACGTGAACACTATGATTCACGTGAAAATTATGATTGATTACCTTTTATGATTCAAATTATTTTATATTATAAATCTTTTTATTAAATTTAAATATCATGGTCATTTTCATAATTACATTAACATATATGTACATATTATACTTATTTATCTCTTAAAATAATAATACTTGTAATACTTGGGATTTGTCAACACTTTTACTAGTTCCTACTGGTCCTATGCGTTTAGAACCAGCCTAGGGAATAATAGAACCTAGCGTGAATGTATTAATCGATTTCTTTGATGACCTACACATTCCACATTATTTTGTAACTAAGATTATTTAGTCACAAAAATGCAGAACTAATATTTTAACATTAGTTGTTTCATAAATTAACTCCTTATTTTGCTTAAAAAGAATTATGACTGAATACGGAAATATATATTTGTTTATTTTTATTTTAATTTTAAACAAATCACATCTTAATATTTTTAAAATCGCATATATGTATTTTCGAACATTCATTGTGTAAATTATCTATTACGTAAATGAAGTGTTGAAATATAAAACATAGGTAATATCTTATCGTCGTAAAAAAAAAACCAAAAAATATTAAAATGGTAAGAATTATGTATGTAACAGAAGTAAATGTAATTATGTTATGCAACAGAAGTAAACGTCAAGGTACGCTAAAAAATATTGAAGATAATGGAAATTAAATGATCGCGTTTCACGTTAACGTAATGTCAGCATTGACCAATTTTAGTGCATAATTGCGTATACTTCAAAATTGCGTATACTCATTATGACATAAACCGCTACTAGGAAATATATTATGATCTAAGCATTCGGAAATGTTCGCGGATCTTCGGAGGTCTTTCGGTTGAATCGTGAGTAAAATACGACCAGTACGTGACTCGTTTTGCCTTCGCCATACTTTACGTCCAAGCGTGACACCACTCTATTAAACCCAAGCATAAGGGGGAGGGAGAGAGAAAGATAGAAGCAAAGTGAAACGAAGGAAGGAATGCATGAGTAAGGGAAGGAGAAACAGAATTATTGTGGATTCTGATTCTGACCACACGTTCAGTCGTTGAGGAAGCTTCGAAAGTGTTGGTCGACGCTGTAGTTAATTGTGAACGTATTTCGTAGCAAAAATAAAAATGATCATCCAAATTATGAGTGCCGTAAGTAACTACATGTGCTTATGTTCTTATTCACATAGTTATTTATTAAGTATATTAAGTAAAACTTATGATACGTATTAAGTAAATGTGTATACGTGTGTGTGTATGTATATATATATACATATATATACATATATATTCTGTAAATATATATAGTTTGTATAATATGTTAAATAATCATTGGAATCAGATTTAAAAATAGAGAAGAAATGAAAAATTAACGATTCCATTGTAATACATTTCGCATTCCTCGCACTTTCTGAAATCGATTGACCTTGAAATAATTGATTCAAGCCTGCTTAGTTTAGTAGTTTAGTGCTTAGTATAGTATGATTGAAATGGTTTCTGTAGGAAGTATGCGTGGTGTAATTAGAATCACGATCTACGCATCGAATTGTGCCGGCTTTCGTTCATCTGTTTTCAGCGCCATAGATTATATACGGTGAACATTTTCGAGCATGGCGTTCACACTGCATTACGTCAATCACAAACAATTCCAATTATCACATAATTCTAGTTCGTAGTATTGTATCTAAGCATGCGACTCGAGCCATGATAATGAGTTTTAAAGGCGGAACAATTTAACTTGGCATCGATCGATTGGTTTTAAATCATATAATAAAAATTATTTCAAATAAAATTGCATTTATTATTATTATTATTATTATTGTTATTATTATTTTGCCATATCGTATGTTTTTAAAAAAATTAATTTTAAATTTAAAAGATTTAATCAAAGGAAATACTTTATGTTACACTTCATATTTCCTTTGTAGATATGCGTGTATTTCCTTACAGGAAAACTAGATAACTATATAGGACAAATGTAAAACCGATATAAAATTATTGTAAAATTACAACGGCATAATTTATTATATTTAACTATAAAATATAATACATTCATATATTATCTTTGCAGGATGAATTAAAAAGTCAGCTTGAGAAAGCTGGAGACAATTTAGTTGTAATTGATTTCTTTGCTATTTGGTGTGGACCTTGCAAGATAATTGCACCCAAATTAGAAGAGTTATCGAAGGTTAGATAATTTATTTTATGTAAAATGTTAATGTAATTCTGTTAAATAATCCTCACAATATATTCTTCTGTACCAGGAAATGGAAGATGTTATCTTTCTAAAAATTGATGTAGAGGACTGTGAAGACGTTACTAGTGAATATAAAATTACTAGTATGCCTACTTTTGTTTTTATTAAAAACAGTAAAGTGGTACGTACCATTTTAAATTAATATTTATTTTATATAAGAAAACAATTAAGGACATATAATTTAAACAATGCTTTGTATGTTTCAGCTGGAGACTTTCTCTGGTGCTAGGTACGATAAACTTAAAAGCACAATTCAAAAGCACAATTCAAAAGCACAAGAGAATGAAGGGAATGAAGGGAATGAAGGGAATGAAGGGAATGAAAAGAATGAAGGGAATGAAAAGAATGAAGGGAATGAA